TACATAAGGCATAAAATAAGAAACTATCTGCTTTCGCCTTTTTCCTTTTCTTTAGTAACAGGTAGTCTGTGCCCTTAAGCAAGGCATTTATAATCCTAACTGGTCCATTTGAGTTTCTTATTGGCCTCTGTGTGTGTGTGTGTGTGTGTGTGTGTAGCAGGGAGTTGTGGGAAAACAGCATGTGTGCCCTGTCAACCTTACCAGGATAATTAAAGGGTAAAAAAATATTTACAGAGATGGAGTTAAGATGACAAGGAGAAGTGAACTACCATGTCTGTGTGCGTGTAAGTCTTTCTAATGTCATCTAGCTTAATCAGATTGACACTTGAACCGAATCCTGTTAAAAACGCACACACTGAAATTCAAATGGAACAGAAGAGGAAGTAAGACATCTGCTCAAAAGGAAGTGCACACATTTTCTTTTTTTCTTTCTTTCTTAATGTCTTTTTCTTTGTAGTTTCCCTCTATTTCGAAACTGAACTGGTAACGAACCTTGCCGTATTCAGTCATCATCTCTAGAAAACAGACACACACACACACAAAGGCAGAAACATGATAGCTCTGTGTTATAAAAGATGGGCCGGGTGATAAAAGAGAGGAAGGGAGTGTTGCACTTGTCTCTGGCTCTGACTGTGCAGGTAAACTGTCACATCAGAGTGTGTGGGTGTGTGTGTGTACGTGTTCCTGAAGGTGTGTGGTTGTCTATGTATTTTGTGTGTGTTTGAGTAGTGACTATACTCACACACTGTATACCTGTCAGCAGTGCCACAGTTGGCTACCTTGCTCAAACACACATTAACAAAGAAACATCAGTTCACTTCAGCTTTTCGTTGCTCTTCTTCAGGCAATCTTATGGTCACTATACATACCTGAAGTCCTGCCCCCTTTTCTTAGTTGGCCTCTGATCAGCAAGCATCTGTAACTTAGTGGGTTTTCTCCATAGGTGTAATAAGAAAGCTGGACACAGTGGGGTATGTCAGCTTCGTTGCCAATTTGACCCAGTGGCAAACCGCCGTACTGCAGGCCGAAAAGTAGTTTCCATGAACTCCCACTACTCCTATGAAAAATAAAATAAAAGATAATGTTTCATTATAAAAGAAACATTGGTAAAACTGTTATATTGGTAAAACAGGATATCCAAAACCAAAAACTGGGTAGTTAAAACTCTTTTCCAGAGCCCAGAAAATCGTATTTTTATGTGCATGACAACACATACACTAAGTGAAAAACTCTTGGGAATGAATGGGCGCCATCTTGAAGCACAGTGTCCAGATCTCATAATACATCCATGGTTTCATCACAAAGGTTGTTTTCAGTCTTTGTGAGAAACTGTTCCTTTAGTTTTCTGTATTTTTCAAATTTGGTTTAATAAATCTGTTTTAAAATAAAATGTTGCTGTCTTGACAAATCTAATGAACTGCACAACATACCTTAGAGTAAGGGTTCCTAACCAACAAGTGAGCATCTGGAAGCAGCAGATATGTAAATCTACACTAAGGTATCTGATGATGATGTTGTATTATGTTGTATCATGGAGCACGAAATGACTCCTCTCACTATGAGAAACTGATCCATTCATACAAATAACATTTGGAAAGTCTAAAAGAGCCACAAAATTATATTTTTACCCTCAGGGAAAGTTAGCAGAATGCTAAACCGGAAGTTAGCCAGCTCGGCTGGCGGAAGTCAACACAGTGGAAAATAAAAACCCCACCGCCAACCAGCATTTGGCGAAGTAATTACAGAGTGAATTAGACACCAACGCACAAATATAAATGCCCATGATTTTTTGGCCACGTGTGCAGAAGTATAAATTTGCATTAATTAATTAATAACAACACTGTAGACTGAAGTGCTGCTAATGTATTGTAAAATTCAGCTTTACATGTGGGATCTATGTTTTCAAATAGTCTTGGCACGTGCACGTGCTTCTGGCAATCCAAAGAATTTAAACAGTTTACATTGTTTAGAAGCTATGACTAAAAATAATATACAGTTTATGTTACAGCAGTAGATCATAAAGAGACAAACCTGCAACATTCTTTATTGACATGTACTGGCTTTATATTGAATTGTGACTGTGTTTAATCACTCAGCAGAACAGATCCTTATTAACATGAAATGTTGCAGGTTACGGCTTTCAATTCTAAATTTACTCGGTTAACAACATCAGACCATTCTGCCACATTTGCCGGCTGTCTGGAGTGTTGGCATCAAACACACACACACACACACACACACACACACACACACACACAGGTCAGCAGCCTATGTCTGTCCCTGTGCTGGCAGACAGAGTTGACAGCTGGAGGCTAATGTCAGCTGAGCTGTAGTTTCACCATTTTAGAGAAATGTAAAAATAAGAAACACATCCAGTCTAATGGTAATAGCATCGATGTGAAATTCTCTGGCGGGGACACACACGGCACTGTCTGTGTGTATTTGTGTGCATTGGCTTACATTTCTTGGTACACCTTTTATGTGTGCATATGCATGCGCTTTTTCATTATGTTTTTTCACATGATGTACACCATGTGCTCATACATTCATTACTGTTTGTAACTATACTGTATGTGTACCACAAAACTTCAATTAATAGCGGAGTCCCAAATAGCCGCCTAACTCCTTTACTGGCCTGGTGTAGGAACACATTTTGACAAATAAGCGCAGGTCTCCATTAGACGCCTGGTCTGGTTTAAGTTCTTTGGATGTATAAAACCTCTTAAACACCGCGGGTCGCCATTTTAGATGCTTCTAAGCTGCTTAGATCATTAATACAAATATTAATGTTTAAACGTATGATCAATGTCAGTATGGACATACTGCAAAGTTAGATCGGTTAGATTCTCCACAATTCAATCCTTCAGTTCATTTAATGGAAACGAGCCCCAAAGTGTAATTCTTATAGATTTACCGGTGTAACCTGCATTCTACAAAAAAGTGCTGACTGTCGTTACCTTTTGAAGCGCTCGTTAAGTCCACTTGTTAGGAATGTGTCCGTTCCTTGATTATTTATAGCCTATTCCTTTAGTCTGTAAGGGTCCACCAGATCAAAAGAATCAACTTTTCATAAAAGTTGTAAATCCTGTCCTGTGAAGTCCATCACTCTCTGTCTGCTAATTTCTCTCATCCTGCACGGTGCTGTTTTCAAGATGTTACTTCAAAATAAAAGCGCATGTCGGCGCTAGATCAAATGAATGACGTTCATTTGATATTATTGGATAAGTTTTATACAAGTAATATTCTGTTTGAAATAAATAAACTGTTTCATAGTAGTTTCAGTTTTGTGCAAAAGGAATTAAAGGCCTGTCCTATATGGATGCCTGTCCCAAATATAGGCAGGGTCAATTTAGTCCAGGCTATTAGCTATGGTTTTATGGTTTTATGGTATATTTGCCCCTATGGCTGTGTTTCTTAACTCTTTCTGGCACACACGTCTCGAAATAATGAATTGAATCCAAGCTGGGACTGCTGTTAAATTGTTTAATTCTATTTTAAAGAAGATGGTGGGAGCTTTAAATAGAATATACACTTACAGGAACTGTAAATGTTAAATATTAAAAAAAATGCATCAGCCTTAAAGATCTTATCTGCAAATCAAGCGATCCAGGGGGCTCAAGGTCCAGAAGCCAAATTGAGAAACATGTGTCTATGTGTGATCATCTGTCTGTGTGTGTGTGTGTGTGTGTGTGTGTGTGTGATCACAGCTCAATCACATGATGCATCACATTGCCCGGTCTGTCTCCATACCCGCACTCTTTCACTTCCTCTATTCTGCATGGTATCTGTCTCTTCTTCTATACCCTCTAAATTAGCAAATCTCTTGTTTCCTTCTTTCTCTCTTCCTCTTTTACTCTATAATCTCTTTCTAGTCATCTTTTAGCATATCGCACCTTTTTTATTTCTCCCAATACATTTATTTATGCCCCCTTTTAACCTCTGTTTTTCTTTTTTCCATTTTAATCTCTTTCCCCATCTCACTCAGTGTTTGAGAAGAAAAAGAAAAGAAAATGCTGACAAGAATGTGGTCAAATACCGAATCATTATTTTTGTATAAAGTTATTATATTTTCATCTTGATCTATATCTGAAGCTCGTTTATGTAAGCAGCTTTATGTTGTTCTGTCTTTTGCGAAACCTCAAAGCAGGTTACACTGGAAAGCTCATAACTGCATTCAAGTCAAGTCTGTCTTCATTCTGCTTTCCTCTCCCTCCCATCACAATTTCCAATAAAATTATCATTAGCATGTATGATTAACAGACAGCACTACTACTCAATGCGTAAAAGACTGTCTGGCAGGATAGAGACTACTGCCAGAGAAGTTAATAAAATATACATTTTAGAATCCATTTTAGAAACTCATTATCATCAATCATCCATAAAGGCAAACATGCTATGTGTAGTATTTTAAAACACTGGCACACACACGTTTGCCATGCTAACTGTGCTACCTTGGTATGATTACTGTAAACAAAGATGATCACGTGAAGACCATTTTTAGCCTCTGTCCAACATCAGTGGTGTTGTGAGAGCTCAAGTTTCTCAATATTCAGACACATCTCTATATGTTGGGACATATTGTTTTCAGGAAGATGACGTTTTTTCTGTACGCAATTAAGCAGAATGCTTTACCCCTCAGGCAGCTCTTTGTGGCACCCTGACCAACCTGAAAGTCATCTCTTGTTAGCAAAAACTTTCCCCAGACCCACGTTAGGATCAGTGCGAGGCTCTACAGGTTGACAGGCTTCTTTTGGATTCACTTGTGGGTTTTATTGAGGATTGATTGCAAAAATGCTAGATGTCACACCTTGTGACGTTTTAGATATGAAAATTTAATTGTTAGCAGCTCCACCAAAAAGATATTTTTTTGTCATTGTGGTTTTGATACTTTTACTTTTAATTAAAGGATATGAATACTTCTTCCACCTTTGTAAATGACTCCTAAGAATTCAGAAGAAATAATAGTATCTCTCTCTCTCTTTCTCTCTCTGTCCATGCAGTACACAGGTCCGATCCCGGCCGAGCGAGGGGGCGAGCTGGCCATGGGGGGAGGTCGCAGCGAGACCTCGGCACTGAGCGGGACGGGAGGGGGGCGGGGCATGGCCACCACCCAGAATTCTCAACGGCCCAACGCCTGCTGCTTCTGCTGGTGCTGCTGTTGCAGCTGCTCATGGTAACAAACACACACACACAAGAACACACTGCATTTACTCAGACAAATACACACAAACACTTGCACACATGCACCCCTAATGTAAGCAAACACACACTGGCAGAGCAGTTCTCTGGAGCTGAAGTCCTGTTAACACAGCTGTAACAGATATGACGCACAGCTGCCTTATCGTTATTGAAATATTCTCCACAAAGTTTGATGAGACTTGTCAACTTCAGCAGTATCTGTGCATTTCCTCTTCCTTAGTGTTACTGAGAGGTTTTATAAAATGCATTTATTAAGTAACAATGAGATTAGGGCCTAATAAAGTTAAGCTTCAGTTTCTGTTAAAGTGGATTTATCGCTCTACGTTGAGTGTCTCAGCGGCACAAATGGGTTTTCAGTTGTGTAGCATGGTCTGCCTTGAAACTATTGCTGTGCTGTGCAGTCCTTAAGAGGAGGTCTAATCATTCTTGAATTTACTCTGATAGAAAATGGCAGTCATAGCAAGCAGGAAGTCTGCACGATAAATAGCTTTGCCTATCATGAAATATGTCCAATGTTATTTGATAAGGAGCATGTTACTGAGCCTTTCTTCAAGTTGCTTTATCTTGTCTTCGCTTGCAACAATCTCTGCCAGCATCAGAAACTTGTATGGAGGATCCACAAGCAGCCCAAGCTGACAAATCACCGTTCTGGTGGTGTCCACTTAGTATACTTTCAGCTACCGTGGCATCGACACATACTTAACTATTTTTGGTCCAGTCTCTCTATGTACACACATACAAATACATTGGACAAACCTGCTCACAGTCACACACACTGAGTCTCCAGACATTAGTCAGACAGTCGCTGTACAGTGTTTAGGTGTATGTAGTTCCCACAGGGGAGCTAATTATTTATAGATCTTTCTCTCTCTCTGTGTTACTCACACCCACACACACAGTGTGTAGACACCTGTAGCTGCTGCTTTACCCTGCTGTTAACATAACTGTGGTTACTATTGCCATTAAATGGGGTAATAACATCCCTGTGGGTGATTGTACATGTGTTTATAGTTCTGAGAGCAGTTACTCTTCTGTCAGCTGTGGTTTTGTGTAGTGTGTGTGTGTGTGTGTGTGTGTGTGTGTGTGTGTGTGTGTGTGTGTGTGTGTGTGTGTGTGTGTGTGTGTTCCCTGTCTGAAAGCCGTTTTATCATGTCAGTCTCACCGTCAGGAATGAAGAGGAGAGACGAAGGCGGAGTAGAAGGAAGAGAATATCACAGGACACCAAGATGGAAACTATACCAGACCGTGAAGACTGGTGAGTTTGCAGCACTAACACACACTCATTGCGTTTGGTTTCAAATTTGTTAAAAGATTTAGATAAACCTTTTGTAGCTTAGGCCATCACACAAAGAACAATGATTCATTTTTGGTGTGGATGCAAGATTATAAACATTTTTTATATTTTCCATGTGAGTGTCTGCTCTTCATTTCTAACTAAACATTCTCAGCCATACAAGTGAATCATTACACTCTCTTATAGTTAGCATGTGAATTGTCAATTCACATTTATCTTCTAACATGTTAGCATGCTTGTAGGGTATGCAACGGTAAGCATTTTAACATGGGTACAAAGTAGCGTGGTTATGATGGTGAAAATTAGCATGCAAATGTCAGGACTTTTGATCTATTGATGGTTGTAGATCAACAAACCTCATCCTCTGGGGACCAGAAAGTCCTGTACAAAAAACACACACACACACACACGCATAGTCGGATTTCCAGTCATATTTTGGTGTAGATGTAGATTCCAATGGAGGTGTGTGCTCTACTGAGTGCTTTATAATTTCTGTTTAGTTTACTGGTGAATGCAGGATTCATGAGATATTTTGCATTCAAAAACAATACAGTTGCACAGATGTGGTGCTGACTGGAAGACAAAATAACAGTTACTAGAAATACAACACAAGGCAGAAACAAAATCCCAAACATTTAGGTAAATAATGAATGAAATAAATGAACCATCCTTTTTACTCCTCCTCCCTCAGTACCAAACCCTCAGCAGAAGAGATCCGGCTGTGGTCTCAGTCCTTCGACAAGCTGATGAGGAACCCGGCGGGTCGAAATGTTTTTCGGGAGTTCCTGCGGACAGAGTACAGCGAGGAGAATATGCTGTTCTGGCTGGCCTGCGAAGACCTCAAACAGGAAATCAACAAGAGCGCCATTGAGGAGAAAGCGCGCTCCATCTATGAGGACTACATTTCCATATTGTCGCCAAAAGAGGTAGGAGAGCTCTTAGCTGACTTAACGTTGCTGTTTTTTGTTAATATTGCAAGATATTGCAGATGCAAACAAGGGCAGGTTGAAAGACACCGACAGCCAAAAATTTATTTTCTGTATATCCATTTTTTTAAAATTTGATTTCATAATGTAACTCACAAATACAACACTCTCTGAAAGCTGAAGGTTACATCTCTGCCACATCACAGTCTATCACTCCCTCTTTTAGGGACTTTGTTCTTCGGAGAGATACCCTGGAGGTTTTCAGACAGTTCTAGGGGTTACCGATTTACTGCTTGTGTCATTGTTTAAATTCCAAGAGATTATTGCCTGTTAATCACTTCAGGATGTTGAACCATCATAAGAACGTTGCTCAAGGTCTGTTCTTGTATCTGAGAAATGAGATGATTGTAATTTAGGGAACTACAGTGTTTTGAAAACATATTCTTATGTAAGATCTGGCTGATGCATTTTGTTTTCCAATAGGGTTATTGCTTCATCCGTGCCCAACTGTCAGTCTGTGTGTCCATACGTCCAACATTTTGATTCTCTAGAGCCATTATCAGGCCAAAATTCCCACTTATACAAAATAAATGGATAGTTGTTATGCTAGGAAATTTACTGACCACATTCCAGATGATCTCTTACACTACCATCAGGACAAAGTTTAATCATTTAGGCCTTAGTTCAAACAAAGGATTTGATGGTTCTTGCTTCTCAAATGTGAGAATCTTTAGCTTTTCCTTGTCATACATGTCATGCCGTCAACTTGATGGGTATAAACCCTTCATGGAAAATATATTCAGCAGATAAAATCGATAATGAAAGAATTGTTAGTTGTACATCATCATGTTATTAATTCTAACATTTCGAAATAGTAAGAACATTGCAGCCTCTGGGGACTTCTGCAGTGTTTTTGTGAACAGGTCCTTAAATTCCTCTGCAGCTTCTTTATTTTTACGTAAAACTTGTCAGGTGTTACACACATGCTCCATGTTCACACCAACACGCACCTTAAGAAATGCGAGCCCTACTGATTGAACCAGTGATAAACTTAGACATACTGTAGTACACAGACACACAGATATTTAAAATTTATTTATTTCTGGTGTGAAATGGGGGAAGCATTGTCTGCTTTAATGGTATTTTTAACTGACCATGTGTTTAACAGTGGTTGCTTTATTTAGTTTAAGAGCTTGAGGCTTTGCTTGTCAGGCTCCATCACCAGTGTGTGTGAATTGGCATGTTAAGACACTGGTGTGTTTGAATGTAGAGTTGTCTGCATGTGTGTAAGTGTGTGTGTGTACAGTGTGTTTACAGGAAGCTATAAATTGCTGCTCTCATCACCTTCTGGCAGTAGATGCTTTTTTTTTTTTAGATGCACATGCACAGAGAAAAATACAGAGATATCCAGACATGTGAATTTGGCAGAAAAGATGCATGCCTGGCTGTCTGTCTGCATGCCTGACCTTGGTAGGATGCCTCTCTCTCTTTCTGTGTGTCTCTTTCCTAAATAAGAGCAGAAGGAAAACATAAGAGAAAGCTTGTCATTCTATAAATATCTGCTGGTGCCGTAGCTGTGGGGCCACTCTGAGTGTATATATGTATTTGGCTCTATGGAAGCTAATTAATGACAAAACTACAGAGTACAAAACAACTTCAAACTTTAATCAGCCTGTAAGTCCAGATATGAGAGTGCAGAGACAGATTTAAAGATGGGATATTAGTTTAAAATTTTCAAAGTACAGAATCCTGGTTTTCTTGCGTTCAGATTGAAATCAGCACAAATGTTCCCCCCAACGGAACCAACCGATCTACTGCGATCTACTGGAATGAGTCCGCCAAGCTGACTCCAGGAGGTAGTATAAACAGAAGTAGTCCACGTCTGTGGCGTCCGCAGCTGTCCATGTGCACTTTCACATTGGAATATATTTGAGGCTTCATAAAAAAGACCCAACGCTCGCAATTTAAACCTGCAGAGAAACACAGAGACGCTATCTTGTATTAAGCTACATTAGAAGACGCAGAGAGGGTGGATATTTTACAAAGCATGTAAAGCAACAGCGGACACAGCTGTTGGTGCAATGCCATTCAGTTACACAGTCGCTTATCAAAAAAACAGAAAGGGAAAAAATCAAAACGGCAGTTGTTTTTATAAAATTGCTGTCAAATAAAGTCCACAGAGCAGACAGGTGCAGGGAGAGAGAGAAAAGTGTAGGTGTTTGTGTCTGAAGGGAAAAGCAAGGTGAGCAGATTACTGTAGTTTGTTAGTAAACACTAAAGTAAAATTAAATTAAAATGGTGAGATAAGCAATAAATATTTTCCTGCTACAGTTTGGAGAAAAATGATTATTAGAATCAAGAACAGTTATTTGAATAGACCTCTGCCAGAAAAGCAAATGCTAATGGAGATCCTAATAAAGAAAGTATTTTCCAATAAAGAAAAGTTACAGTTGGGTATGCTGTCAGTTATAGTTTTAGAAAGAAAGAAAATTGGAATCAGCAGGTCACACATTTAACAAATCGTTAATCTTAATCAGCCAGGACAAATAACATTAGTGGCATCTTTAGTTTTAGTAAGCCGATGTTATGATAATACAGAAACAGAGCGCTCTCTCTCTCTCACACACGCAGACAGTGACTTACACACTCACGACCACCTGACTCATTGCCAGAACTTCTTGGGCACCCATCCTGGTTTCTGCTGTTCTGCTTCTATCTATCAAATACATAGCTCTGGCTCGTGAAGTGACAGCCTGCCTAACAACAGACGTCAGTCGGTGTAACGCGACTGTTGAGCCCCTAACAGTTTAGAATATTCGCTGTTAATTACTAGGGCTGCACCCGAATATTCGATCGTTGGGTACACATTCGATTTTCAATTTTGAGATTAGAATATTGAGGGGGTTTTTTCCATGCGCCTGACCTCCACAAACAGCAGTGAACGTAACACTCCAGTTCACGTCAAAGGGGGGAAAAAAATTAAGTCCTCAGCTGTGTGGGAGCACTTTAAACTGAGTAATAACAGCAGCAATGTGGCGTTTATTAATTAATTAATAATTGCTTAATTTCATTTCAGATCAAAACAGTCAAATCGTAAAAACTGTAGGCTACAAAAAACAAACAAAAACATAATGAACACATTTAAATTATATTAGGCCGATTATGTAAGAAGAACATTTAGTAAGCTATAATAAAAGTCAAAAGTGAATTATGCGTTATAACGTGTTATTTAGTTTCGCTAATAGTTCTGCTGTCCATGGACCCCCGCCCGGCTAAACCCATGCTGACTATCTGATCCCTTTAACCCTGCAATAAATATTCCTCTTTTATGTAACTCCTCCCTTTCTTAGTCCCGCACTTGGGTCTTCTAACATAGCCAAAGTTAAAAACAAAGTTTTGGTAATAATCAATTAGTTAGCCTAGCTATGAGAACAAATATACTCTCTCTCTGTTTCTCTCTCTCTCACACACGCACACACAGACAGACTTACGCACCCATGCCCGCCGTTATATCTCCCCCATCCGATCCTCCCTCACTTGGCAGAACTTCTTGGGCATTTATCCTTTTTCTGCTGTTCTGCTTCTATCTATGAAATACGTAGCTGTAGCTTATGACAGCCTGCTTATCAACACACGTTTAAGCAATTGCCATAACGGGACTGGGAATTGGGGGGGGGGGGGGGGGGATCCTTTGATGTGTTGTCTTACTTTTGTCACTAAACAAAATTTCCCTCCAGGTGAGTCTGGACGCCCGGGTTCGAGAGGTGATCAACAGGAGGATTCAGGACCCGACGCCTCACGCGTTTGAAGACGCCCAGCTACAGATCTACACGCTGATGCATAGGGACTCCTACCCACGATTCCTCTCATCCAACATCTACAAGTCGCTCATTAATGGCGGCTCGCGTACCTCCTCTGAATCCTAGTCCCACGCCGCCTCCCCACCTCTGATCCTACACTTACAGGATTGATGTCAGACCATTTCATCGCTTCTCTCGCACACTGCTCCCAGTACAAAATTTTACAGAATTTCAGAGTCCTCCTCAGTTCACTTCTCTTCTCAGAATCCCAAATCTTTCCAATCTCTAAGACTTCTCATTTCTTGTTTTTAACCCTCCATATCCTAAACCTGTAGTGCTGTTGCCAAGACCTCCTTTCCTCTCCTCTTTTCTCTTCTCTCTCTCTCCAGTTGACTCTTCTCTTCTGTATGTCTTCTATTCCTTCTTCCTTCTTTGTTCTCAATAAATCGCCCTTTACACTGTCCCACCCCCACCCCATTCTCTTCACTTTTACGGTTGGAAAACTCAGCCAAGTGTCTAGAGGGCCTTCAAAAACAAGAAATGTAGTAAATTAATAACAGATTTACAACATAAAATAAAACTGTATAACACAATAACATTTATTTTTCCAGTAATAATGAAAAAGTAAACCTGTTAAATTCTATTAATTTTGTTATTAGAACAATATCTTAAAATGTTATACCCATAAATATTTTCAATCTCCATAAGCATCTGAAACAGTGACATCATATTAGGTAACCTTTCATTCATAACATTTAAATTATTAGTGCCACATGTTGAAAGTAGAATCCATCCAGCAGCCAAGAATTGATTTCAATATGTATTTGTAAACAGGCCAATCTGATAATACATGGACCCATTGGTTTTTAACAAATTCGTCACTTCAAAAAAAATCTTAACTCAAGGTCCAATTTCTAGCTTTTCTGGAGCTTTTAACCTCATCTCACTGTCTTCCTCAGTGGGTGGAGTTTGCACAGTTTGATAGTTCTGAGCTACGTCCTGTACGGAAGGATGTGGTTCAAAGTTCCAGAAAAAGATAGAGAGTAAAAAGATTACAGTCTGACCAATACTGGATATTTAACAAGATTGTGATATCTGCTAATGTTCTTCTGTCCGTCCAACTCCATTCTTCTATTCATACTTTCAATCAGTTTTCTATCTTCCCACCTTTTTCCCTGTTTTTCATCCTCAACAGAGAAGCAAGCAATCTCGTAGTTGAAGTATTTCTTTGGGACATCATCTACTGTTATGTGGACATGATTACTTGGGAGATTTTATTGCATTTCAAGGGGAGAAAAATACATCTGTGCCATGGATTCTTAGAGATTATTTTTTTTTGTGATTTGCCCATCCAGTCACATTTAAGAGCCAATTACAGATGGATGCCCCTGACTTCCGCCCACCTCATCGCCTGTTTTTCATCCTATGGTTATCCATACCAGGACTAACGGAAAGGCAAAAGAAAAAGATAGATCATTCCTTCTCTTTCTTTTTCTCTCTTTCAACTGGAAAACACAGGGTGCTCCCTCCATCCTAGCTACAAACGAGAAAACATTTTGTTCTTATTTTTATTGTTTAGTTATCCGCTCTTGTTTGCTGGATCAATCATTTCTCTCCTGTGATAAACAAATGGATGGCTGTCACTTCCTTCCGACTACTGATTTACAAACAGACGTCTATTTTTTAAGAGAAAACTATATGGAACATTTTAATCATTGTTGATTTTTCTTTTTGTTTTGTTTATTTGGTTTCTCCCGCTCGCTCCCCTTCCTGGAATTTTTGCAAGAAGAGGAGGATTCCTCTGGGACTGTACTGATCCACACCCAACGCAACACCACAGACAGCACAGACAGGTGCAATAAAACACTGGAGTTTAGAAAAACAACACACACATACATGTGTTACTATACTTCAGTGGATCTCTCAAAAACCAAATTGATAAAATTCCTTCTTGTCCAAACCATAATCCCTTAACAAGATATGATCATGTCTACCAAAATAGCAGATATTTATACCTCAGGTTTGTTGTGTGAGATTTTGTGAATTTTATCTATGCTGTGAAACATTTCTCATTTTCTCAGTGAAGCGATAATCCACTGCCATGCAGTTATAAAAATAATGCACCCACAGAGTGTGATATTTCGTAACAACCATCGGCACTTCTAATTATTTAAAGTGTGTCTTTATTCATATTTAATACTGCAATACGCCTTTTAAATGTATTTATTGTGTTATTCAGTATTTCTCTAGGCTAAAGTTGCCATCTTTTAAAAAATAATTTAATTGTTTACTTTTGGATCTATTAATCATTTTATCATGTTCTTTTCTGAATGTTAGAGCCTTGGAATTGGAGCTGAAACAATTCAAACAGTTGATTCATTTTTTCAATTAATTGATTAGTTAATGGACAGCTTCTCAAATGTGAACATTTTCTGCTTTTGGTGTATGATGTAATTTGCAATTAAATATCTTAGCAGTTTCCACGGATACAAAAAACAAAATATGAAAATATATTTTGGCTATTGGTACATGTGAATTGCATTTTTCACACTTTTGACATTTCATGACTAAATAATTACAAATTAACACATTGAAAAAAAAATTGTTCATCATTTAAGCATTTAAACTCCATAAAACACAACTTGAAGTGTCAGAAAGGAAAGACTCAATGTTTAAATTAGCTCACGTTAAATTCTGTTGTCTGCACAGTGTGGATGGGTGTATTCTCTTAAAAAGCCAGCATTCAGTGGAACATTATAATGTTCTTTCTTCTAAACCAGTTATGAGTACAGTTTAATTTCTGCTGCATTGATGCCATATGGACATTAACATAACTAACATTTCCAACTAGAAAACACTGTATACACCATTATGTAGTAAGTAATGTAAAAGCAAACTGCATACAATTGGAATTTTTGAAAGCTGCAGTATGTCTGACTTACCACTAAACATGACATGGGGGGGGGGGGCACCTGTAGTTTTAATGGTCAAGAAGGACCAAAGAAGATAAAATGTTGCTGTCTTCTATAAAGATCCCCAAGTTTTAAATCCAGAAGTCAAAGTTGTCCTACTAAGTATAGTAATACAAGTATACGCACACACACACACACACACACACATCAGGGTGGCCTACCTGGGCACTGCTGCTGCTGACCTCTGCCTCTGTGACCTCTCACCTTTGATCTCACCACTGTCTGTCGCCCACTCCTGATTGGCTGCAGGAGGCTGCCGGGCTGAACTGTGGTTGGTCAATTCAGGAAGGGGGGGTGGGAGGAAATCCCAGGTGCAAAAAAAAAATAAAATTAAAATATATATATATAGATATATTAATGAAATACAACTAATAAAATATATAGCGAGAAAAAAGGAAGATATTATGTGAGAGGGGATGCGCACACCCAGTGCTTCATGGGAATTTGTAGTTTGAGGAAAAGAAACGTTTGTAGTTGTCTGTGGAGGCAGAAACAACAGATTTTTAAAAAAAGAGATGCCGAGCTCTTAACCAGATTGGTCACTCAGAATGCTTTTATCTTAGTATTGTTAATGTTATTTATTTTATATTTTGTTAAAACTGTGATTTTAATTGTACATATAAAAACGGAAACCCTTGAACATCTGATGGGAAGCAGCTTCATTTGTTCAGTGTTTGTGTGCAAGTGATTTTCCCCCCCCCCATCTTCTTCATCAGAGGTACAGTATGAATTTCCCTGAACCTTGCCACTGTCACTGCTTTTCTCTACCCTGCCTTTTACATGATAAACAATTTATAAACTATTTGCTTTACAATTCAGGCCTTCTTTTTATAGCCGTGCTATTGGATTATTGAGGCGGTACGATACATTGATATTTGGGATCTGATCAGATAAATTGGCCAAGAGTTTTTTTGTTTGTATTTTTACATAAATACATAACAAAGAATCATGAGAAGGATTCCTTTGGTGTTTTTTGTGACCAAGCTATACATACTCATTCTAGCTAAACTTATTTTCTATCATAAGAACAACATACCAAATGACCGCAGAGATATGGAAACATGGTGGCAGCAATAAAAATGATTCTAACAAGGAAAGAAACAAAAGCAGTCAGACACACAAATCCCAGGGACAGTCAATACCAAAGAATGCCAATAATCCACTGTAAACATCCATCAGTTTTTATTACTGCTTCAACTTTGACCTCCCGTCCTTGCTGTAATTGTGTGCAGTTTTCTTGCACAATCAAGGGATTATTAGCAACATTTCAAGTGCGCTCACTTTCAGTTTTACCGCCAAATAAAGTGCTTTGGATTATCTGGTTTAAACTGTTTGCTTGTTTCCAACCTGTCTGACCACTCATGTTTCTAATCTCACTAGACTTTGTTCCACTCCTAGCAATAGCTTGGAGAGTACATTTTATACTCTAACTGATAGGAATCAGGGGCCCAAAATTGCAAAATAAAACCTTAGATTCAATACACCAGAAATTTTCCTTTAAAAGGAAGCAGGTGGGTGTTCGTGGTGCGATAAGGAAAAGGTTTTGCTTACCCTGATTGTGTGTGCTGAAGGTTTGAGCTTCACCCATACTGTAGGTTTAAGCCCCAGCAGCTCTCCACATACTATAACCACTATGTAAATAAGAAGACATTAACAGCTCTCACCAAACATTAGTTAACCAACCATCACACACACACACACACACACACATTTAACATCTGTACATATCCCCCCACTGGTAAATCAAAACCTAAAAACAGAAAAATGAGAGGAAAAAAACAAAACTAACTCACCACTGCCATAATGCAAGAACACAAAGGCAAAAAGCAAGTTGACATGTTCCTCAAATCTTCGCCAATCGGTCAAAACCTTACAGACTGCAGACTGATAAAACTCATCATTTACATATTTGACTCTTTTAGAGTTTCCATGAAAAAATGTAAACATCCACAGTCAACATGGTTACCTACCCATTTATTTTTCCCATAGTCAATATTATACGTCTCACAGAGCTTTTCTATGGTGAAACTTTCAGAAGGTGGGAGCTTAAGATTGCGCTGTTGAGAAAACAGATTTTTTATTTATTTATTTTATCCACAGCTTAAATCAGTTAACTTAAAACATTTTTAACTTTGGTTGAATTTGGTGGTCATAAGGTATACCTATATGATTGATGCATTATCCAGGAGAGTCCTTTGTTTCTGTTTTAAGCAACACTAAGGATAATGTTAAAAGAAATAAATTCAATGGAAATAGATAATGAAGAAAAATACTTCTGGAACAAGCAACTCAACTTTACTGCAGAGAAAGAACATGCTCCTTCAAACCTCAATTTAGTTACTGTAATATGCGCCAATCCATTACTATTAAACAAGGAACAGTCCATTCAAATAATGCTGGATCAAAGTCAAGCAGTAGTGGATCTGAAGGTCACTGAAAAGTTTGATTTAATCGGAACTGATCTTTTATGAGACTACGTGTTATAGTATACACTATCTCTGAGAATCCTCCGTCAATATAGAATACACTATTTAATTTCATAAATATATACACAACAGAATCACAGAATTAATTATTTCACTGTTTTTATACAGGCTGTATAAAGCACAAAACTTTTTTTCTACTAATATTATGTATTGCAATTGCTTCCAATTCACTGCTAGCTTAACCAAAAGTCACAGGCAAACATACATTCAACATATATGAAAAATAATAATAAATACTAATTTATTTGCTTTAAGTTTAATGAAGCACAAAATAATGGCCCTATAAAAGGTTTACCAACTTGTTCAACACTAGCATTTGCTAATACTAACAGCTAGCTAGTTTTGGTAACTATATATTTTTTGATATTTCTGCAGCTTTGGCCTGAAAACATGGTGAGATGTTACTACATAGTAAGCTACATACAAAAATATTTAAAACTAACCATCACATTGTCTTTAAGATATGATTTCTCACTCAAACCACACTGTAAACCAAATATGGTCAAAGAAAAAATGAGAGAAATTTACACAGTCAGATTGTAACCTGTTGGCTAGTTCACTGTAACCACGTCTCTCTCTGATCCAGCAGCCCTGCGTTCTGTCTACACCACGACTTCAGTCTGTTTTCCATCCAGGGAGAAGACACCTAACAGAACCTGGTATCACAATGGCCTTCCAGTGTCTCTCCCATGCTCATGTATGGAAAGAGCTCAGCAGTGTTTCCACAACAAACACAACAGGAACTTTCTCTGCTCTGCTTTCTCACCACTTTTCATCGCCTCTGTCAACATGCTCGCGTCATTTGGAAAACGGAGAGGACGGCTCGGGTTCATACTTTAATTAATTGTGATTCATTTGATTTATTGTTTAAATGAATGAAGGTGACACAGGCCTCTGTTGTCATAGGGAGGAATTTCATAAACAGTGATCATGTTTACATTTTCTTGAAGATAAAAAGTCTATACTTAAGTCAGACTGTTGCCTTTTCTTTATAGTGTATTGTTTATATAATAATAGAAATCACTTGAGCAACTTAACATAACTTGAAAATCATGTTTTTATTTACCTCCAGTGGTTTAACTACTCTTCTTGCTGCAGTTTGTTTAAAAAAAATACACAACTAAATAAATCATAATAATTCCCTTATGGAAGATTATTAAATAATTATGGTTACACTATTTACTCAGCATTTTACAGTTGAAAACTAAACTTGTCGGTCCTCTGGTGGACAAACTATGTAAGGGTGGCAGTGTTTCTAAACCACTTATCTGCAGACATAACACCAGACTATCTATGTGGTCTCTCTAACTGACTCATTAAAATATGTGAAAGCGGTTGAGATATTTTGCTAACTATTAAAATCCAGACCAGCCACAAAGAGAAAAGGACTACAGTGATGTTGTCTTAATCCAAGAGCTACTTTAATATAAATGTTAAGGGCAAAATATGTGGCAGCACAACATGGCAAAGAAAGGCACATCCACTGTTTCTACAAGGCCTAAATGTGATTTAAATCTGGCTTAAAGCTTCATCTAGCGTATGAAATAAACTCTGTGCTCCATACAAAACAAATTCAACCAATAGAAAACGTTAACTGGCTTATTTTTCTCGTAATATATAACAGCTTTTAGTTTTATAGATATATAAAATTATACAAAATAAAGAAAAGAACTATATTATTTTTTTAAATCCACATTCAGTTCACTTAAGTCAGTTTGCTTCATGAAGGAATAATAACCACAGGTCCTCTTCAACAGAACTGGAAGAAAGGAAAAAAAAAGAAAGATCGTGATTAAGATTCTTTTAAGTTTCAACCTATAATTAGAGCTCATTTTGCCTAACTTAGAGGTAAAGGAGCCCTATCCAAACAACTTAAATGAATTTCCTTCCTCATTAAGCTGTTCATTAAAAGCTAAAACAAAGTTACGCTGAGTTTAACTTTAAAACGCAAGATGCCATTTGTTTACTTAATTAAAACCCTGCATTGTTTACATGTTTTCTTGCTAGATGTCTTTTTTTTGCTGCCTTTGTGGGTACATTGCTATGTTTGTTGGCACGTTACTGCTGCCAACTGCCAATCAGTGGAATAGCATAAAACAATACAATACAAATTCACACTCCTTAGCAATACTAGTGGTCAAAAACTCCTTAGGGAAGGTTTATCTCTTGCCGCCATCTTTGTAAGTTATTACAGCCAGAAAGTACTTGCTTTGAGCAAAGCAGTGGAACCTGAACAGAGCTGATGTGGGATGAACCAACTTTTTAGTACTTTTAATTAAAATTATTTCTCTTTGATGAACTCAGCTAAAAAGTGCACTAATCTCTACATTCTATTTAAATAATGGATGAAGTAACCATGTGTCATGTGAAAGGTGTCACCCGTAGTGACAAACAAGAGAATGTAGGTCTACAGAGCTTTGTAGTTTATTTTAGCGCATAGTTTTGCTTTTACAGCACATTTTCTGTTTGGTCCAGTCTCAGGCTCTCAGCAACCCCGCTTTTTTTGATAAGCCTACTGTACACTATCGGCCCAGCACCAAACAGCGAGAGAGACAAAAAGTTAACAAATAGCTGATGAAGAAAGTGGAGCATCCACCAATTTTTTTTCAGGGGTTGGTGCAGACCAAACCAGAGACAGAAGGATGGTAAATATTAGACTAACAGTTATTAACAGATTTGCTTAATGTTCTTCAATTGATGCAGATTTAATCACAGTAGATTAAGCAACATATCTCTAGTAACACAAACTTTTAAATATTTTATTAATTTGCTTAATTAGCTTTAAACATTTTTTGGTGTTGGGTGTGTTGTTGGGTTAATACCTACTATGTATAATGTCAACTTTCCCATCCATCCATTTCAGAAATACAAATGTGGTGCGGACCAATGAGCATCTTATGAAGAACTACTGGCAGCTATGGGCATGGTTTAGGTATGACAACAGCAAGAAGCAAAGCAACTGTTCAAGAAAAACAGTGGCGTCTCCTGAAGAGATTGGCGTAGATGCTGTTACTGCATCAGTTGTATCCAAACTGGAGAGTATTTCTTCATTGAAAGAAGAGCAAAGAATGGCACTGAAGGCTTTTCTGGATGGAAAATGTGTTTTTGCTCTTCTCCCAAGTGGCTTCAGCTCTCTTACGACATCATATGGTTCGTTGATCTGATTGGTTGAAGTTAACACTGATAGACAAATGGTTCATCCAATCACCTGCCAAGTATTTGTTGAAGGTGCCTGCCCTTTTGCAGTTATCAAGAACAACTTCTCAGATGGTTAAGTGTAATAAATCATCTGGTGCATTCGCTTGCCAAATTACACGAAATAAATATTTCTACATGTGATGTTCTGTGTGTCATTGTAATAAGAACTTCCCAAAACTACAAGAAGGAGAAGGAAGAAGTAACAATGGAGAAGAAAAGAGAGGGATGCAATGGAAGGAGGAGGGTGAAAACCACAGCGAGGAGGTGTGAGATGTAAACAAGAGGTGAGGGAGGGGAAGGATGAAATGTGAGGAAAGTGAAAAAGAGAGAATGAGAAGGAAGGAAGGTGAGAAGAAGACAAAGAATTAAAAAAGAAAGATCAAAAATAAGCTGTAAAGCAGAAACATTTGGGAAAGAAGAAAAATTGGGGGATGAGAGCGTTAGGACATAAAAGGTGAACGGAAGCAGCACTAACTGAAGGAGAATAGAGGAAGAGACCAGTCTCTGCTGCCATCTTGTGGTGGGAGTCTGTTACTGACATTCAGGTCAATCACTCAGCCTTTATTACACTTCAAAAGGGAAAAAAAGTGTATTGTAATTTAGTTATTAATTGATTTTAACTGGACCTGTCCCATGCACATAAATACTTCAGTAAATAATGTCATATATATATATATATATATATATATCTCAGAGTGCATTTCAACATGAGAGATGAACTGTTAAACATTTGATAAGAAAACACATATTTCATGTTTATTCTGAACAACCTTTACATCTTTATTGTATAGATTGATTTTGCAGGTTATTTTTGTGAAGGTTTCACTTGCTGATGGGTGGATGGGTACATACATACACATTTATTTTATGGGTGGATATACATAGTACATGGAAGAACTGATCTCTGTATTTTAACCCTAAATTAAACATTTAGCCGTTTGTTAATAATATTCAATACTACTAATTAGTATTTATTGTTTCTTTACCTTCCATCGGTTGCCGCAGCTGTTACATAACACAAAGGTGGTCATTGGCTCATCAGCACTGCGAGTCTGGACCTACGACACACACATGAAATAACATAATGAAATATTTACCTCAAACTTTTAAAAAAAGTTTTTTTTTTCCTTTTGCCATTTTAATGTATTCTTTTGAATTCGTCAGATTTTATTTGCCGAGTCACAGTCCTGAAATGCTCCAATCCTGATTCAGGCATGTAAAACACTTTGTAACTTTTGTTTTGAAAAAGTTAAAGAAGAAAATGAAGTTTATTTTTTTTTTTAAGAAAACACACCTGTGTGTAGGTGCAGCTCTTTCCGTGACACTTGTTGCAGATGAACATGTCCGTCTCAGTTCCTCCAACCTTCGACAGCTGATGCTCTCTGATGGACTCTTTAGTCAGAGCCTCTCTGATCTGCTTCAGCTCTGCACTCGCCATCTCCTGCACACACACACACACACTTCAAATATTTAAATAGACAGGATTCAAATATTTACAGCGGTTAGATGCATTCTTTGACACTTGAATGTGCTCAAAAATAAAATATCAGTATCACTAATCTGCATTTATATGCTAGCTCAGTGATATTTGCAATGAGGGACTAGACAATATTTAATCTGTTTATCAGATTAATATATCTCTTTGACCTTCATCTTAAAAAACCCCCACAAACCCTAAAACCAGCCTTAACACTCAAACAGCCCCTTGAAGATGTAAGGATGAGACTAAATGTCTCCATGACTAACCTCAGCGGTCATGCAGGCAATGCGTTGAGGCGAGATGTTTCCACACAGGACATTACGCCGCAGGTCGGGATTCTTCTGGTCCTTCAGGTTGGAGATCCGGCTTCGTAGACGAGATTTATATTTCATATCTGTTGACTTAAACTCCTGGAAGATCTGTGGGCACAATGAGCAGTCAAGGACAAAAACACTACAAGTGATGACAAAACACACACATCCTGTATGTATCCATCACATGCATCTTGGATGCGACACTGCCTTAAGCTCCTCTTCACTCTGAATAGTACTGATTTGACTTCACGTAAAATGTAAAAATACAAAAGGATTTGCACACTTGCACATAATGTATGTATCTGTATGAAAAGATTCTCAACTTAGCAAGATGTCTGCTAAGTTTGCATCAGTGAAACTAAAACACATAGGATCTTGAAGAATATTTGGCTTGGAGTCAAAGAGGATTAAATGTCTACAGGTTGTTCAAGGCTATGGTGCTTATTTTGCATAACAACACAAAATTGTTGGATGGACAAAAAAATGGGGAGACAGCCTTACTATTCTTTAGGTCCACTAGAGGAAAGCTCATGTTGTTAACTAAATCAGAAAAGTGTAACACCTATATGGTGACAATTTAGGACATCTCAGCCTCAGCTTATCAGGCTCAGCTCTGCGTTGTTAAAGTCAGCTCAATTCTCATCAGCTTCAATTTGGGCTGAATACATTATGTTTAACCATTCAACTGAGATCATTTTGGAGGACATAGTTTGGGGTGCTGTTGAACTGTATTGCATCATACAGAGAGTTGTTTCTGTTATTTAGCCTTCCATTATTAAAGTGAACATGGTGGACATAATGCTGAACAGACACACGGGCCTACGTCGCCCTCACAGAGTCCGTCTGCAAACACAGCTCAAGTGTTTCTCTAACAAAGTGAAACACACCTCGACAGTACACTCAGATTAAGATCTTTCATTCAGGTGTGAAATCCTGTTCTGTTGGTTCATGTGTGCATTGAGAAAGTGAAAGGATATCCTCTTCAATTTGTGCTGCGAGGTGCTCACAGTCGACTCCAATTGTCTTGTGGTCATCTGGAATGAACTCAAACAACACACACACGATTGTTTAATTTTAAGTGTTATAAACATTAATTCACTTTTTACAAAAGCAAAATGAATGACACCATGATGAAACAAACTGGGAACATGCAAACAAAATTACTAACACACATTTGCTGCCAGAGTTTGATTTTCACATATTTATTTGATTGGTTTATTGTTGTTGGAATAGATCTTTTTTTTTTTTTTGAGTACTTAGTAATGCTCTTACCCAGAACTAGGGATGAAACAATTACCGGTTTAACGGTAAACCATGGTAAAATTCCTGACGGTTATTATTACCTTACACATTTTAATTACCATGACAACCGGTCACAGCAAACTGTCCAGCATCTCCCAGAAGCAGGCTCGCATGTGCAGAATGCAACGTGGGTCTGTTTGGGTCAATGACAACACGGTGGAACGCTGCAGAGATTTTTCAGTCACTCTGAAGTCTGGTCGTATTTTAGTTTTTATGAGAGCGCTGAGGGAAGCTTGATTGAAGAAAATAACCTTATAGTGAACGCAGGGCGAGTTAACTTTTAGCTTTGGCTTGTCTGTCTGACTTGCTAACAGCGTGTAAACTGAAGCTCTGAGTGTTGCTGCTTTTGTAAAAACACTACAAGTTGTTCTGCTGCTGTATGCGTTGTGTGTTTTTATGTAATTGTCCATGGGGTCATTGTATTACATATATTATATAAAATCTTGATAATGCACACTGTTTATTTTTTATGCAAACAAAATGGCAATTGTATTTGTAGTTTTCAATATAAAACTTGTGGAAATGGTTTCAGTGTGTGTATCAGTACATTTTAATCTTTTTCGGCACATTTTTACAATACCGTGATAATACTGATAACGGTGATAATTTTGGTCACTATAATCGTGATACGAAATTTTCATATTGTTTCATCCCTACCCAGAACAAATGTTAAGTTTTGATCCAATTGGAAACAAGAACTTTTTCCATTTGCTCACTTTGGAATTAAAAAGATCACCCAGGTCTTGTCAACTTTTTTGGATTGTGAAAACACCACCTATAAAAAAGTACTTCCTCACCATCAGTCTGCAGCGCTGCCACCAGCAGCTCTCGGCACTTGTTCCGCACACTGTCGGTGGTGACGGGAGCGGGGGGGAAGGAGGTGACCAGAGGTGGGAGGGTTGGGGTAGTGGGACTAGTGGGCGTGGTTGGGGTGGTGGGGGGCTCCCTAGACTTCTTGCTGCTGAGTAGTAGAGTAGAAATGATGCAAAAAATAACGCAGTAGGGTTTGGAGTGACAGAAACATGACTGTGGTTAAAGGACAATCCCACTTTAAAGAGGTCGTATTATGCTCATTTTCAGGTTCATAATTTTATTTAGGCGTTTTACCAGAACAGGTTTATATGGTTTAATTTTTTCTTTGTTCGGAGTTGTACATGCACAGAACCTAGGTAAGGACTACAAGCCAATCAGAAGCAAAGTAGGGCGGATCCTGAAAAGCAAGGTAGTGTGATCCAAAATAAAGCCACTTTAGACGGTAGCGAAAGGCCAGGCTTCTCATTTTTAAACGGTGCGTACGTACAAAACAGGGCTGGAAATGTGCGTACGCCACTTCCCAAGCAAAGGTTGTGATCTATAAAAAACAAACGTGACGGGGAAATGCGCGTCCCGTTAGTAAACTCTGAACCATGCGTACGCACATAAAGAGGAGAAATGAGAAATGGCGACTCACATGGCAGAAGGATGAAACTGCGAAATGAAGGCCTACTACTGTGTAAAATATATTGAAATATTGCCACTGAGTCGTATAGGCTTAAAGCCTTTCTAAATAATCATACACTCGTTTGTGAAAGAACTCCTCAAATATGTTGGACAGTTTAATCAGGAATTATGTTAATTAATAGGCCTACTTGCATGCATTGAAATTTATTCTCATAAATAAGGTGAACAGGACAAATTATATTTAACTGTTGCTGTTTTCAATGTGTCAGTCGAGCAAATATGAGTGAATAGTTTCATGTAGTGTTATCACATGTTCGTTTCCTTATCGAGCCAAATGCTGTGCACCAGCGTGTGGATGCGATGCGCTGCTTTTAAAAACACATTTTGGAAAAATAACACTATTTTATTGTCATTTCACAGCAAGTCACGGGCTATTTCTTTCAACTCATCGCCAGCCTCGTTAAGTGAGTGGGATGTAAATACATGTTTAAACAAAGGTGGAATGCATTTGGTTTACTCTCTTTTCAAATGGGGGGACCCAAGTTAGTACCTGGGTCATCCCGTCTTGCGTGTGTCCCCACCTCCGGTCAGTGACGTCACTACTCAAGAGGGATGTCCCTTCCTGCAGATCGGTTATGAAGGGTTGGAGCGCCGGTGCCCCCTTTCCTCCGTGTGTTGCATGAAAATGCGTTTTTTTTAACCACCAAACAACATGCTTCAGCTTCACTAAAAAGGAACATGAGTGTCACACTGAGTTAAATCTCGTTTTGTAGCTTCTCTTTCAGAATTTGCCTCCTTTTCTTCATGCAGTCAGTACGTATTAATATTAATGAGGGGCGTTTCACTGACCATTTATAGGCAACTATGGCCGTTTGAAGGGTCAGACATGGAGCTCCCTCACATGCACCACATTTCGCACGGTTTTATAAGTCTGAATATTTTTTGGCATACGCCATTTTAGGCTTTTGGGCACACATACACTTTTGGTGAGGTTTCTACGCACAGTTTTATAAATGAGACCCCAGGTTTTTAGGCAGTTCAGAAGCAGAGTTTTATGAGGGACATGGGAACTCCCTTTCGGGTGGACTTGGGCTTTTTCTCTTACATGCAAATCTATTACATGCACAAAAATCATATATTCCACAATAAATGAAAGGAAAAAAGCCAAAAAGCATAATATGACCTCTTTAAACCTTCTGTTATTAAAGACAACATGGAATGGAAAATTCCCTTCTCTTCATGAGAATCATGCTGCGTTCCAGACAACTCGAAAGCTTCAGAAGTCCAACTAGAAAAAGTATATTGGCTATGTTCCTACTGGGGCAAATCCATCTACCCCAACTTCATGAAGAGGAGGTTGTCAGACGTCACACAACAATGGCAGCACCAATAGAAGCGCATATTATGAATGGTAAACATCAACTAAAAGGCAACATAAAGTATGTAGATTTGCCTGTATTTAATTAAAATAATACATACTATCATATAGTTAAACCACCTATGTATGTAAATTGATGTTGCAATTAGGTAGTTAATACACACACAATCACTAAACAATCTCTGAAATTCATCTTCTCTGCACAAAAGTTATTCAGGAAAACGTTAAAAATGCCAAAAAATGTGAAAACTAAATATACTTAAATATACAATATGTACTGACTTTTGAAGATTACCAACCAATGTAGCTGCACAGGAAATTAATGAGTAACGTATATTTGAGTCACTGTGTTGCCACTGGGAAATTCAGACATCCAGCTGTGACTGGAACGCAGCATTAGTCCATCTTAAGTGGCCTCATCCTCATCCATTGTAATTAAAAAATGACATCATCACTGTGCGACAGACCTTTTCTCGCTGCTGCCAGAGTCCTTGGAGGTGGATGATGACCTCACAGGTGAGCCTTCCTTCTTCTTCTCCTTCTCATCCGAACCATCTGAGACACAAAACAAAAAACACATACATGGATACACATTTCTGGCTCAGTCATAATGTTAGGGCTGGGCAATAAAACAATATTAACTATCTTGACATAATTTTTCTCAGTAACAATACAACAAATGTTCAATGAATGTTCAATGTTTGATATAATTCATTTAAATTACAAAATGAATTAGCACTTAATTATTTTTATTAAAGGTTCAGTGTGTAAGTTTTTGTACGATCTAGTGGGGACGGTTGCAAATTGCAACAATGGATCACTGCACATTAAGGTGCCCCTCAGATGGTCCATTCCCCGAGATGTGAAGTTGTTCTTACGACTTCGGTGTGTTCATGTGCTCTTAAGTTGGAATGTGGATTCACCATGGACGCTACTACAAAGATGTGTTGGATAGGATTATCATCAATTTAATTTCTAAATCCAAAAACAAAAATGCTGTGAAAACTTTCAACATATGGTCCTTTTTTAATATCTTTATACAATCTAGACCTCCCTTTCCAAGCGTGTAGGAGAAGCTACGGTGGCCGACACGCTCTGTCAGCCCTTGTGCTAAATAATACGTGTGGTCCTCCATTTGTTCTAATTGCTCTTATTTTCTTTTTACTTCTAACAATACCAGACGACGACGATGACGACTACTACGTACATATTCAACGTAGTGACAAAGCAGAAACAATGCAAAATGGAAACTTCCATGATAGAAATGGTTCGTTCTAAGCTAATAAAAACAATAAATAAAACAGTTCATTATGTTTTTATACACTACTAAAAACATAGTACAGAATCTCACAAAAGTACACCCGACATTTTTGTAAATTTGTTTATATCATTTCATGTGACAACACTGAAGAAATGACACTTTGCTACAATATAAAGTAGTGAGTGTACAGCTATATAAAAAAATGTAAAAAAAAAAAAAGCTGTATAAAAAAATAATAAATAAAATAACAGTGTAAATTTGTTGTCCCCTCAAAATAACACATCACACAGCCATTAATGTCTAAACCGCTGGCACACTCACTTTTGTGAGATACTGTATATTATCAGAGTCGGGTTTATTGCCAGGTACATTTTCACATACGAGGAATTTGCCTTGGTATAAATTGGTGCTTACAATACACATGAAACAAATAGAAATATATAAAAAGTAAGGAGATCAAAAAAAATTTACAAGTATACAAAAAATACAACAACACTACAATGACAAGAATGCGCATGAGCATAAAGCACAGTTGAGCGTTGTTGTAAACTGTGGGGTCAGAAGTGTGTATGAGTGTGTGTGTGTGTTTGGGGAGGGGGGCATGAGAGTCAGTGACAGACAGGACCCGGGCCTTGTTGCGAAAGCCCACTGCCATCGGAAAGAAACTGTTCTTGTGGCGAGAGGTTTTGGTCCTGATGGACCGTAGTCTTCTGCCAGAGGGCAGAGTCTGGGAGGGGTCAGCCACAATCCTTCCTGCAAGCCTCAGAGTCCTGGAGATGTACAGTTCCTGAAGAGATGGAAGGTGACAACCAATCACCTTCTCTGCAGAGTGAATGATACGCTGCAGCCTGCCCTCGTCCCTGGCGGTGGCAGCAGCTCCTGAGTGGTGAGTACCAGATGGTGATGGAGGAGGTGAGGATGGACTTGATGATGGCGGTGTAGAAGTACACCATCATTGTCTTTTGCAGGCTGAACGTCTTCAGCTGCCGCAGGAAATACATCCTTAGCGGGGCCTTCTTGGTGATGGAGGTGACATCGCTCACTTGAGGTCCTGGGAGATGATGGTGCCCAGGAAGCGGAAGGAGTCCACAGTGGCGACAGGGGAGTCACCCAGGATGATGGGGGAGGGTGGGGCTGGGCTCATTCTAAAATCTACGACCATCTCCACTGTCTTCTGAGCGTTGAGCTCCAGACTGTCACCAGATGGTCAATCTCTCACCTGTAGGCGGACTCATCCCCAATGAGCCCAATGAAGGTGGTGTCATCCGCAAACTTCAGGAGCTTGACGGACTGGTGACTGGAGGTGCAGCTGTTGGTGTACAGGGAGAAGAGCAGAGGGGAAAGAACGCATCCTTGAGGGGAACCAGTGCTGAGGGTCCTGGAGTCAGAGAGATGTTTTCCCAGCTTAACATTCTGCTTACCGCCCATCAGGAAGTCTGTGATCCACATGCAGGTGGAGTCAGGCACGTTCAGCTGAGAGAGCTTATCCTGTAGCAGGGCCGGGATGATTGTGTTGAAAGCAGAGCTGAAATCCACAAACAGGATCCTGGCGTAGGTTCCTGGGGAGTCCGGGTCCTGGAGGATGACATGAAGGGCCATGTTTACTGTGTCGTCTACAGACCTGTTGATTTTGTAGGCAAACTGCAGGGGGTCCAGGAGTGGGTCAGTGATGGATTTTAGGTGGCACAACACAAGGTGCTCAAAGGACTTCATAACCACAGATATCAGGGCGATGGGTCTGTAATCGTTTAGTCCAGGGGCCCGGTCGCCACTCCTAAACGCATCTTCCTTTTCCAACCTCTGCTGTCTGAGCTTAGCTGTGATCCGGGGTTTGTCATTGTTATAACTCACCCTGGAGCGTGTTGGAATGCAGCTGCCCTCACAGAAACTGATGTAGGACGTCACAGCCCCTTTATACTCATCCAGATTGTTGGTAGCAGTCCTGAAAACATCCCAGTCAGTGTAATCCAAACACGCCTGGAGGTTCTCTACAGCTTCACTGGTCCACTGCTTTGATGTCCTCACCACAGGTTTATAGATTGTTAGTTTTTGCCTGTGTGCAGGAATCAAGTGAACCATGGCATGGTCAGAGTGTCCCAGTGGAGGTCGAGGGACGACGTGATAGGCACTGCTTACTGTGGTGTAGCAGTGATCCAAAGTGTTCCCCTCTCTGGTTGGACACTTGAACTGTCTGTATTTGGGGAGTTCATGGCTGAGGTTTCCTTTTGTTAAAGTCACCAAGAACAATAACAAAAGGAGTCCAGGAATGTCTGCTCTACCCACAGTACACCATCAGCACGTTGGCCTGCGGTGGGATGTAAACACCGAGCAGAGAGTAGCTAGCAAACTCATGTGGAAAGAAGAATGGTTTACAGTGTATCAGTAAATATTCCAGGTCATGACAACAGTGTTGCTGAATCACTGTCACATCGTTACACCAGCCACTGTGAATGTAAAAACAGACACCTCCACCTTTTGTTTTGCCGTAGACTTGTATGTCGCGGCCTGCTGTGTAGACCTGGAAGCCAGCCAGCTGCAGCGCAGAATCCGGTATTGATCCACATAGCCACGTCTCCGTGAAGCACAGAAGAGAAGATTAAAGTCTCTATTTTCCCCCACCAGTGGCTGAAGTTCGTCCAGTTTATTGCACAGTGAGCGCACGTTAGAGAGAAATATTCCCGGTAGCAGCGTGCGGTGTCCTCTTCGGCGTAGTCGCACCAGCGTACCAGACCTCCTACCTCTCCTCCGGCGTCTCACCACATGAACAGCGGAAAGTGAAGCCTCGACCAGAATGTCCAATAATTCCGCTTATGATACTATAAAAGTCGGAATTAAATCCGCTGGTGTTGTTCCCCTGATGTTTATGAGCTCTTCTCTGGTGAAAGGGCTCTGGGTATCACAGCAGAATGCAAAGTTAACAAACATAAAATTAACAAACAGAGCGCACCAAAATACCATGGCTGCCCTGAGCGGCGCCATCTTACCATTTATTGCATTTCTGTCAAGAGACCCTCCTAAATATTACACACTGAACTGGGACCTTCCTTGTAGAACTGAGTTCCTTGACTCAGTACATCAAGCCGACCGTCATTAACCTAGTTGTTGTTGAATCTAACTTTTTTCAATTGATGCACCTGGCCAAAATAAAGCATATTCTTCCGAGGCAGCACTCTGAGTGCGCCTTTTAGCTGGAATGCGTAACTCGAGCATAGTATTTATTATATGGTTGTTTTGGCTTTATTTATTTGTATTTCGTACCTCGTGTGAGCTATGTATTTCATGTCTGTTATTTATTTTTCTGTACAGCACTTTGTGGCTGCTTTGGCTGTTTTAAAGTGCTCTGTAAAATAAATTTTGATAGATTGAATTTTACTCATACAAAAATGATTTTACCATAATTGTTGTTGAATAACTGAATGTTCTACCTCAGATTTATTTCACAGTGTCTCGCAGTTTGGCAAATGTTTGTCATTTTCTGACCACAAAGAAAAGTTTAAAACCACACTTAATGGTGCGTTCCATTTGACATGGGAAGTCGGAATTTCCAAATTCATAGTTCAAAATTTCAAGTCGGATTTCTGACTTGGGAAGTCAGGGGGAACCGCACTGCCCCAACTTCTTGATCCGAGATGGCTGTTGGGGTATCAACAGCTGTAGTTTATCCTGCTTATTAGCACTTCTGTGTTCACAGAAATTTTCATACATAAAGTGCTGTCCAGCTGCTGTCTCTGGACGTGTTGCCTATGAGTAAATACCGCACAATGCTTTTTTTTTTCCTTTTTTTTTTTTTTTTTTTTAAATCAACCGCTGTTTCAACAGCTAACCTGGCTAATTGTAAACAATGGCTGGCTGAGCGAGGTTTTCCCGCTTGTTAACTGTAACGCTGTCAACTCGGGTATGAAGTCGTTCCCAGCTCCCACCTCCGAGGTAAATGGAACGCAGCAAAATCATCAGATTTCTTCAACTTTCACTCAGGAGCAAAAATCATTTTAAACTTGCCATATTGCTTGGCCCTACCTAAAATTAAGAAACATTACGCAGTAGACACATCAACATTTCATACATGTACAATGAAACCTGTGGAAAAATTTTGGATTTGATTAGAAGATTGATTTATGAGGCAAAATTCCTATATCATAGCAAACAGTACAATTATCTTTCTTCATTACCTGTATCATGACAGTATAGTTAGTGTATTTAGAGAGGACATCATGTCATGTTAGGTCCTCACAAAGTTAGAAGTAGGAGAGCACTCAACGCATACCCAGCAGTTTCTTCCAGGACTTAATGAGAGCTTTGGCCAGAATCTGAACTTCTTCATCTGAACTCTGCTTCCTCACCGCGTTCACTGACATCCCAACTCTGGTTGACTGCGAGAGCGAGAGAGACAGAGAGAGAGAACGGGGTTGTGAAAAACTGATATATGGTTTATATGTTTTCATACTATAAACATTATACATATAAACAATTTCTTTCCTAAGAAACCAGTACATACATCCTTGGTGTTTGTTTTTACTTATTTGGTCAAAATTTTAACAACCAAAACAGAAATCATTTTATTTATCCGCCGTGATAGTGCCCCCCACGCTCTTCAGTGGCCATGACTTTTGGGTTCCAACTGACAGCGTTTGTGCTGTAATTTGATTGTTTCAACATCTGTGTAAGCAGGCACTAAAATAGTTAATGTATTATGTAACACCACAGTTAACAAACAGTTAACCAACTGGTGGGTGGGGTGGGTTAATGAAATTACTATGAAATAAATTAATCATGTTTTTATTGCCCCTTTTGTGAATGGGTGTAACATTACATAAAAACGGCACACGGCTGCTTTCTCGGTCACTTGGAACAGCCATTGTTCTGCGTCCTATGTGAAGAAATGGGGTCAGATTTTCTGCATGCGCACTCCCAAGCCTCTTGCCTACTTATTCTGCACTGTACACACAGTGACAATACTACAGCTAACGAAACGGAGTCTGCCAACACCAAAAAACAACCGGCTCCAAGCACAACACAGACTCCAACACAAAGCATGAGAAATATATTGTGATATTGTGCTTTAGTTGTCTCAAGTGAATGAAAGTTATTGCCGACCAATTACTAACTTTATCCATTGCAAAATACTATAGTTGTAATGTTGTGGCTTGCCACATTACTTCACCAGCTAACACAATCCATATTACTATCCTCTGTACCAGTATTATGTCAAAGTGCTAATTTTAGCCAGCAAGAAATTATATAATGGTACAAAGCAAATGTGGAACTATTCGTTTCTAAAACTAATATTAATGTAACGCAAGGGCGTCCAGCTAAATTAGCATGGATTGGTTGTGTGTGGGTCTCAGTCCCTTTAACTTAGGCCTTCTCTTGTTATATCTGTTTCGGCCGATGCCAAGTTCTTGCTCTTGAGCAAGTGAGGAGCACATGCTCGGGAACCTAGTGGTTGCAATCTGAAACGCTAGAGGCCACTGAAAACTCCACATTGCCCCACAATAGCCGTGTTATAATTTTTGTTAGTTTCTTTTCACAAAAAGTGTGGTAAATTAATATTTCAGTTTGGCTTTAACATGTTATGCTGTTTAAAATGTCTTCATAATGTCTGCACAATTCAAATCAATATACTTTATAGGCATGAATGGTTAGGTTCAACAATGTTGTTAAAGCAGAAAGTCACATATAAACAATAACAAAGTATATATAGAAATAATAAACAATAAAATTAAATTAAAAAGGGCCTATATGTAAGTTTTTCAACGAAATTACTTATGAATCAAATTTTCATTGCCTAAATGTGAATGGGCTCAAAACTCACTTAGAAATTAAGTTTACTGTGACCACCCCCTCCCTGTTTCTGTATTTTTGAGAGAAATAAGGAGTCGGCTGTAGCCTTACCAATTCAAAATAATAGCTGCATAATGAAAAGACATCAAATTCATTCAAACGTCATATTCTTTAATTATAATAAAAATATCCTATTCAGAATTGCCGCTTCATAACATCATCCTCTTATTGTGGCTTAATAGGGTGACCAGACATCCTGAAAAATCCGGGACGGTCCCAAATTACGTGCAGTTGTCCTGACTCCTGTCTGGTTTGTCCCAAAAATTAGACCCAACATGAGTTTTGATTATAGCCTAAATAACATTAAATACTGATCGTTGTGTAGTTCTCTCGCTCCAGCAGAGGTTGCAGGTTATCTGTACATTGTGTCAACAGCGTTGTTACAGCCACAAAGTAACACACGTCGTGCTCTTTTCCCCTTTTTGTTTTCTTGTGGTAAGTGGAAGTTACAGTCACGGAAAGAGTAGCTTCAGGCAGCCACGGCACGGCGGAGACATCTGACACGCACTGATGACATGAATAAAATAAAAATAAAAATTAGGTAAAAGATCATGATTTATCCACTGTTACATATCCCCAGTAACTGTGTTTTTACTAATGACAAACAGGCGACTTCATGAACAAAGATAATTAATTTTAGTTGTTGTGCTTAGATTCCTCCGTCCTGAATTTCACTCATTCTCATCTGCTCACCCTATGACTTAATCTTAGATTTTTAGCAAAGTTTGCAGTGTTGCCAAAGTATTTCACTGTCTTTGCACACAGATCACACACAGCGTCATTATTACCTTTTCAGCTAAAATACAGCCAGACCTGACTGTTTTTAGTCAGCCAGAGTCAGTATTCAATCGCAGGTAATGTAAAGGGCCGCAGCGGCTCACTTCAAAGAAGCTCCGTCACAGAGCCGTAGCGCGAGCATGACTTGGCATGAGGAAAAGTAGTTGCAATCAACCGAGTATAGACCATTCTGATGACAGTTATATACTTATGATAAAACATACACTCACTCCAAATTACTGAGTTTAGATCCTTTTATATGAGTATCGATCCTAGAGCAGGAAACGTTGGTATCAGAAATAGATACTTTAGAGTCGATCCGCACATCATTACTCATGAGTTCAAGCGAGCACGCGTACGAGTACACACCTGGTTGCAATCTTAGAACCGCACTGCTAGTGGCTGCTGAAAACTACATAATGCCCCTTTAAAAAAAGAACAAACGAACTAAAACCAAATTGGTCTTGCATTGAAAATATGTCTTGCTTTTTGACAAGCAGTAATTTTTCTATGTATGTAAAAGTTCAGCATCTCTCCTGTTAAAATACCAGGTGTAAACAGACATGGTGGAGTCGGTGGATAATGTAGATGCTTTGGTCTTTAGCTCTAAGGTCATCGCCACAGAATTATTGTTGCACAGAGGCGCTCATGCAGCAGCATGCCTTGTGCAAAGACATGTTGTTTTCACTGACATGCAGACACGGATACAGAAACATGGGATATAAAACAAGAAGCAGAAACAAAGCGGATCGTGTCAATGGGTGTCGGCCTGGATATGAATTAGTATCTGGTAGTGTATTATGAGCATTTATCACTTCTACATCACTGCAGCAAGATTAGGAGTTCAGCAAAAAACTTTTTTTTTTGTTTTAATTTTTTTTTAATTACATTAGCATGTAAGAAAACCTGTGTATCAGTCAACAGAAATAACTTCTTGGTCATCCTGAGGCCAGACTAGTAGTGGCAGTGCTAGTGGTTATACTAGTACTGGTAACAGCAGTGATAACTACCGTAAAACTTCAATTAATAGCCGAGCCCCAAATACCTCCTTTACTGGCCTGGTGCGGGAACACATTTTGACAAATAAACGCCTGCCTTAATTAAACGCCTGGTCTGGTTTTTATAGAAGTTCTTTGGATTTATAAAACCTCTTAAACCCCATGGGATCGCCCGCTTTAGCTGCTTCTAAGCTGCTTAGATCGTTGATACAAATATTAATGTTTAAGCGTATGATCAATATGTCAATATGGACATGCTGAACATCGTTAGATCGGTTAGATTCTCCACAATACCACTGTTAAGTTCATTTAACGGAAACAACAAGACCCAAAGTTGAATTCTTCTAGATTTACCGGTGTAACCTGCATGGCTACAAGAGAGGAAAAGGGGGGAAAAGTGCTGACTCACGTTAAGTTTGAAGCGCTTGTTAAGTCTGCTTGTTAAGTCCAAATGTGTCTTCCTTTAATCTGTAAGGGTCCACCCATCAAAAGAATCAAAACAGCTTTTTAGAAAAATGTATCCAAGTTGTAAATCCTGTCATGTGAAGTCCATCGCTCTCTGTCTGCTAACATCTCTCATCCTAAATATTATTTGTATACAGACCTAATGGATGACAGTGGTAAGATGCTTCAGTTTAATACATTTAAAGACAAATTCAAAATCCAGTGCTCATTTAAGGAATATAGCAAAATTTGTAAAGTAATACCACTTCCTCTTGTGAACCTAATCCAAAACACGCTCTTACAACCAAACATACATAAGTAGTCTTGCCAGAATCGGACAAATGCAAATAAGCGATAGGAAGTGCGACAATAAAACTATTCGCAGCCTTTCTCTGGGTGTTTATTGGAAAAGGGAAAAATCTACCACCTTTTGTAGGTGTAACAAGACTCTCAAAACTACAATGTATGACATAGTAAAGTTACGGTGACACGGAAGGAAGAGCTGAACAATAACTGTTGAATGAACGGAAATAATGTGCCTTCATTATAATTTCATAATTATCTATTTTTGTTTCAATTTTGTATTTTTTTTTTGTGTGCGTCCTAAATTGACCTAACATGTAAATTTACTATCACTAGTATTGTTGTTATTATTTTTAGTGGAGCCTTGCTGTTCTCTTATGTTTTGTATGGTTTTGAAGAATGCAAATAACTTCCTGACGAGATTTTGTACAATTGTGAATCGTAAATAAAATTTTTTTAAAAACAAACAAAAAAAAACAACATCGCTCATCCTGCACCGTGTTTTCGTGAGGTGGCTGACTTCAAAATAAAAGTGCATAAGCCTGTCTGTCGAGCTAGATCAAATGAATGACGTGTATTTGATATTGTTTAATAATTTTTACATAAGTATTATTCTGTTTGATATAAATAAACTGTCATAGTAGTTTCAATTTTGTGCAAAGAATAATAAAGGCCTGTCCCATATGGACGCCTGTCTCAGATAAAGGCAGGGTCAATTCAGTGATATTAGCAAATAAAAGCCCCAGCTATTATTCAAAGTTTTATGGTAATCTACATTAGGTTGTGTACAAAGGGGTGGAGTTAATTACCTGCAGGGTCTCCAGGGACATCTTGATGTTCTTTAGTTCCCTCAGCAGGTCAAGAGCTCCATCCTGTAGACAGAACAATAAACAAAAACCCTCACATCACCTTCTTACCCAGTAAATGTGGCCTCGTGTGAACACATCAGTGAGTAAACCCAGAGGATGAATCTTTTTTTCCCCAATAATGGGTGTCTTTCAAACAGGGCTGACACTTAATCTCTGAATTTTTTTGTTCATTAAATGGACATCCATCTGGCGAACTGACAGATTTGTTTTAGTGGACATCACACATTTAACCAATAAAAGTCAAGGTGACTTTATTGCATGTGAAGATTCATGGTTTCTTCCCAAAACTCCCACCCACAGCTGAACAACTGTCACCCAGATGCCCTGAGACAATCGTTCAATGTATACTAAAAGGTTACAGAGAAGATGGTGAATACACGAGAATGTATGTCAGTGAGTGGAGTTTTGCTCACTATTGTTCAGGAGATTGTCACTTTAATTTCACTAGGTTATCAGCATTATACAGCTAGTTAGTTCACTAGTGGTAAATGCCACATCATTAACGTTGGAAGCTTACATACCTCAAATTTAATCAGAATTGATCAAATTACTATGTGTAATATGTCAATGTTGTTCGTGGTGCTAAACCCAGTAAATGAAAATGATCCACTACTTTACAGCTCTGCATAGATTTTAGCCTCCATTAGCTCATTGTTTTGGTTCTCTAGCTGCACACATATTGTATCATTCATCGCTCTCAATAACCTCCCAAATAAACCACAGCCAGCTGCCCCAAGACAACACACACAGGCAAGCTGAGGGTACCCTCCCTGCCCACCAACCAAACAGCAGAGCTGTTGAAGACATTCAAGCATTTAGCACATCAAGAACAAGATACTTCCCTTAGGAGTTGGTGGAGACCAAACCAGAGCTAAATGAAAAGTGAATATTGGGGAAAAAAACAATGTTGCTCCATGTCTGCTGGATATAAACAGTCAATTCTTTACTACCTTAGCCACAAGTCATACATAGGTGAATTTATTTTAAAGAACTCATATTATGCTCAGGTTCAAAATCTTATTTAGGGGTTGTACCAGAACAAGTTTTCATGGTTTAATTTTCAAAAAACACAATATTTTTGTCATACTGCACATTGCTGCAGTTCTTTTCACCCTGTGTGTTAAAGGCTTTGTTTTAGCTATGGAGTGATCATCTTGCCTCTACATGAGCAGTTCCTAGTTAAGGACTACTAGCCAATCTGAAGCAGAGAAGGGCGGGTCAGTGAGGAGCCAGTAAACACAGCTTCTGTTCTGTTGTATATCTTACCAGCTTAGCAACATGGACGGGAGCAAGAGTTTCAGAGTGGTGAGTTATTAATCTGTAACAAGAGTATTTACTTTTCATACTTTCATCCAAAAAGTTTTAACTGAGCTCTGTCTCTACATCACAGTAACAACTTTATGTCTATTGACTGCCTGGAGGGTAGCTAGTGTTTGGGAGGGAAAGGAGAGGTGTGTGCTGCAGCTCAGTGTTCTTTCACCTGTGTTTTTAAGGGTGTGTCGGACTGCCGCTTGACGAGCATTATGACATTTTGCTTTCATCCATGCATCGTCAAAGGGAAACGGCTGGACTACAAACAAGCTATTTTAAGGCAGTTCAGAGCAGTGTTTTCTGTGGGAGTTCGGAACTCCCTTTGGGGTGGACATTTCAGATTTTTCAATTTGCAAACCTATTACATGCACAATATATATATATATAACTCAATAAAGGAGACGGAAAAAGCCAAAAGGCATAATATGACCTCTTTAAAGAAAACTGTATATAACAGTTTCTGCTGAGACCTTCTCCATTATCCACACTTGGTTCAGGCTGTGGTGGTCATGCAGACTGAGGATGGTTCAAAAATATATGAAGCTTTTAGTTTAATATGCGATTGGTCTGTATGTAGTATAGGGATCCATAACACTGTGTCCAAAATGTCTTTGGATAACCACCGCTTCACTGTGCAGAACGACGTACAGTACTGTGTAAAGGTATTAGGCAGGTGTGGAAAAAAAAGTTAACATGTCTACTTTTGAAAGCATTCTAATAGATTATATCATTTAACAAAATATAGTGTAAAGTGAATGAACACAAGAAAACACCAAAATCAAATCAATATTTGGTGTGACCACTCTTTGCCTTCAAAACAGCATAAATTCATCTAGGTTCACTTGCACACAGCTTTTGAAGGAACTCGACAGGTGGGTTGGTCACTTCCAGGACTCCTTGTTCTTCTCTACGCTGATGATAGTTCTTAATGACTTTCACTCCATGTTTGGGGTTGTTGCCATGTTGCAGAATAAGTTAGGTGCCGATCAGATGCCTCCCTGGTGGCCAGTACTTCTCAGCATTGAGGAGACAATTGATTCTGACCAAATCTCAAACTCTGTTCGCAAAAATGCAAGAAACATCCACCATGCTTCACTGTTGCCTGCAGACTCCTTTTTCGATCCGATTGCAAAGGGAAGTAACCATGATGTGTCCTTCATCTGCTGCAGTAAGTTTCCTTGGCAAGTTTCTTTCTGCTTCTTTAAGACCTTGGACAGCACATCTGGAAACTCCTGTTCCTCATTGCTGAAATTTCACCAAATTCAATTTGATTTAGATTTTTCTTCTGACTTTCAATGTCGGCAGTTCTCTGTGCTGTTCAGACTACAAAACTTGTGTTGTCTTGTAAAGGCCACGACATACTTCCTTTTGAACAATGCGTAGAACAATGCATAGGCTTAGACAGGCATCAGCGATGCAAGTGGCATTGTTCATATACTTGCCTGCGCACTTTGCGTGTACCTGGAGGATTAAACGTGAATCCACTTGGGGGCGAATCATGGCCAGATAATCCCTCACAGACACCGGATTATCTTCCTTGACAACCTCTGAGTTTGCACATCGTAAACAAACTTAACATAGTGACACTTGAGGAGGTTATGATTTTAATGAGACATCATAATGATCTCGGTAATTGCGGACTAGTTCCAGGAGTTTTATTGTAAACATCCCACCATAAATCTCCTTTTTTCAAGTCTGCTGCTAACCTTCTTCTTCTTTTGCGTTTAATGGCGGTTAGCAAACCAACTGCATACCACCACCACCTGGGCTGGTATGTGGAACAGTAGATTGCTGCTGACCTGCCTGATTAAACGAAGCATCGATGCAAAGAATTTGTGTCGAAGCATTTTATTAATCGATTTGATCAATTTAATCAATGAATCGTTTCAGCCCTAGTTCACACATAACAACAGGCGAGCGCCGATCAATCGCTGATTTGCCCCCGATCACAGCCCGACGGTTGGCGAGTGCAAGGACTGGAAATTGGGCTTAAAAATCATGTAGTGTGAACTAGGCTTTACTTGTATTTTGTTTATTGACAAATAGAATCTATTAACATGTATATTTTTCAAAGCATTCTTGCTTTACAGCATTCCTGATTTCCACTGCTAAAAAACATTTGCACAGTACAGCGTTTGTTTTCACATTCAAGTGTATAAGCACAATTTTGTGACATCATCAACATACAACTTACACAAGTGCGATGTACAGCAGCAGACATCTTGTGTCATCTGAGTTGTTTGAGGAGGAAAGAGGAGATTTTAACTATTTTTAAAGAGGGACTTGAACTTTTTTGGGGGGGGGACCATCTTTATTCTTATTCAAAGCAGACTATTTTTAATAATTTAACATAGTTGAAGGTCAAACTTCCCTGCTTATGAACAGAACTGCCCGCTGGCATTCAAGTGTTATTAGACATATTTTGATCATAAATGTCTGCATGTTCTTTATTCATGTACTTAATGCTTAATCTCTCCATTATAAAAGTAAAAACTATACAGAACCTTCCTGGGTTCATGCTAAACGTTTAAGTAAACAATGCTCCAACATGTGCAGTGACACCTACACATAGGCCTACAAATAAATAATAGTTTCTTCCCTAATAACTGACTCACTTTTTGCTCTGTACTCCAACACACAACAACAACCACATGAATTTAATAACCTCTGGAGCTACAGGTAAAACATTATGAGGTGAGTTGACTAGATAATTGATTCAAGCTGCGAGTGTTTTAATTGGCAGCTTTTTGACCAATAGCTGCCGTGATTTATTGCCAAACTATCACCAAAAATCACCAAAAACAGAAGCGTCAGCCTTGTTGTGTGTGAGATTATCAGTAGAAATGTGCAAACCCTCCTCCACAGAGCTGTGATCATGAGTTAAAACACACTCCCCGTGTTTCCAGAATTTTCCCTCTATCAGCAGTTAAAGGTAGAGCTCATCACCTGATCGCGTGTTTTCCAGCGGATGCAGCAACTGTTTTTACACTCACCGTGTTTTTCTTGTGCACCATTTTATCCAGCTTTTTGGCGATGCGCTCCACTTCCTGGTTTTTAGCCATTTTGAGCTGATTTCTCGCCTTCAGTTCTCCTCCTCTGCTGCGGTGAAAACCCCCATTGATGAGGGAGACAAACTCTCCCCGTCGCTCTCTCTTTCCTTCTCTACGCAGCCTGTCTGTCTACTTCTCTCCCAGCTGCTGCCTCCCTCTCGTTTGTTGTTATGTGACACCGTGGGGCGCCGGGAGTTGTAGTTGTAGTTTTAATTTTTTGACTCGCTCCTATTTCGTCCTGGAGTGGCCAAAAGGCTTACTGGAGGACACTTCTCGGGTGTGGGCATCTGATTTCTCCGCAGGGTTCCTTATTCATGCTGCAGCAATCATTAAAACTACAAAGTCAAAATGTGTCTATTTATGTAGCAACATTTTAGCCTATTTTATATATATTATCTTATTTAGGCTATATTGTTGGAAAACAGTGAGGAATTGCTTAAGTTAATTGAATTTGGGAGCAGCATCATGATCCTTAAGCAAGGCTCACAAAAGTGTTCTGATAATGTGATTTTCTTAATTTGTGCATACCATGCTTTTGTAATTTAGCTAATAAAACCACAGCATTTTTTAAAGTGTTGCTGTTTGTTAAAGGCCCATTTTTAGCTCCATTTTGTTCATGCTAGAGAGGCAGTCTGAATCTGGTCCAAACCTTCATGCTACAACATCAATACAGACTACAGGACACAAACTAGGCTATTATAGGAAACCATCTGGAAAGCTCGCGCTGCAAAAAATATCGCGGGTGACAGAGACCGTGAAATGTCAGGTGTAAAAAAAAATGTACATAATGGTTGCAGCACCTTCAGGACCTCTCATTGTTTTCTTTTTACTAGAAGGTATTTCACCACCTCCAACTATTTTATTTCTCTCTATAGTTGAACGTGTGGACATTTCCATTTTGAAATATTTCTTCAAATAATTATCACTGTAATCTAGGTAACAAAGTGCTTCACAACAATCAATGTAAAACATAAACAAATCAAATAAAAATTGGTATCACGGTGGTTTTACCACAATGAATAGGCTAACATAAACAAGTCAATATACAAAGAAAGGAAAAATAGATTGGGTTATTTTGGCATTTATTTTTTACCCTAACACTGAAGAATCATTATTCTGTTTAAATGTGTAACTGTTTTTATGCTTGTAAAACGTTTTGAATTTTGAACTTTATTTGTTTATTCATCTCACACTGACCTTGAACCTGCTTTATTTCTTTGCACCAAACAATCAATATATAGTGTAATTAGACACTTTTTAAGTTCAGCCTGCATGTACTTACTATGTCGTTCCTCTAGATGTCAATGTTAAGTTATTTTCTGCATAGTGTCCAGGGTAGGAATGTTGACAATAGCATACAGTAACTTTTTATGTGTATTTTTGTAAGATGCCAAGCTTTGAAAAATACATTATTAAATACAATTTATTTGGAAAATATGTGAGTGATTGGTGTCTCCAAGATGATTTAACTGCAGTTTCATTGTGTAATGTTGAAGCCATCATGGGTCCCGATGAAGGTTAAGACCTGAGTGAGACATTTTCTTTTATATTAGATTTTTTCAATTTTTCAATTTCAATTCCAAGGTGGAAGAAGGTAAACAAACCTTCTTCCACCTTGGAATTGTAAAAATATTAACAATAATCTTTATTTATAGAGCACTTTTCAAACCCAAGTTAAAAAAGTGGGTCATATATATGTATGTATATATGCATGCATATATATAAAATAATAATAATAATTTAAAGGTTCAGTGTGTAAGATCTAGTGGCATCTAGTGATGAGGGTTGTGAATTGCATTACTCTATCCAGCCTAACACTGCCCCCTAACTTTTCAAAGAGGGTAAGACAGCCATGGTGTCTGACACAGCACAAAAGATGTCTCTTCTGAGACAGCATAGAGTGGGCAGTCGAGAAATTAGGTTTCTTTAGGTATATTTATTAAGAAATTATATTTACTTAATTATTCAGTAAAACCAAATGTTATTGTGACCTGGCCACTGACAGATACCATGGAAAATGTAAGCAAACACTGTCACTGTTTCTGCACCACAGTCCATTATAAACCACATATTAAATAAAGTTTATAAACATTGACAAGGGAAACACATTAATTCTCTCAGTGATTATGGACCATCTCCAAACTGCCCGACAACAATAATATCTGGCCCACTGCCAGATTATGGTGCTTTAATATAAAGAAATAAATACTTTGATAGCTTTGCTTTAAAAATAGATCCCAGTCATGACAGCAAAAGTTACTCACATAATCACTTCTTCTTTAGTGGTTTTGCCTACAAAATAAAAGCGCGAGAAAGCTTGTTTATTGCAATCTTCTATTTGAAGTAGAACAGAGCTTTTACTTTGAAGAATTCTGAACGACACTAAAAGAGTCTGTAGCCTGCTTGACACATCACTGAAAGAGCCGTCCGGGTTGTGAGTCCTGTGCCTTACCAACTGAGCTAACCAAACAACATTCCAAAGTAAGGTAATATTATGGCTAATATTCTCATCCACCATCTAATGGTTGAAAATATTGCTCCTATTCAAAACTTATTTGCAGACCCCTGCAGTATATTATTACTACATCTTCTTCTAACGTACATATTCAACATAGTGATGAGTGTCTGCACTGCCTGAAGTAGAAGAACAAGAACGTAGTGACGAAACGCTTTCTGTAGCGCTGTTTGTCTGATTTCAGCTACTGTAAACATGATGATGCAGAGTGGCAACGTCCATGGAAGGGGGTGCCCGTGGTTATGTACATATAAATGTCTCATTCTAAGGTTATAAAAACATAATGGTTTATTATATAAAGTCTTCATACACCACTGAAAACATAGTTATGGATCTTATATTGCATTTCTGTCATTAGATACTCAGAAATATTACACACTGAACCTTTAAGTAAAATTGAACAATAAAATTCTGGATAAACTCTTCGATAAAAGTACAAGTTTTAAGAAGAGATTAAAAGAGCATCCTGACAAAGCCAGCCTCATTTCCTTGTGTCATTGATCATGGCGATATTCTCAAACATTTCATCCATCCATCTTCATCCGCTTATCCTGGGTCGGGTCGCGGGGGTAGCAGTTCCAGCAGGGGACCCCAAACTTCTCTTTCCCGAGCCACATTAACCAGCTCTGGCTGGCGTTCCCAGGCCAGTGTGGAGATATAATCTCTCCACTTAGTCCAGGGTCTTCCCCGAGGCCTCCTCCCAGCTGGACGTGCCTGGAACACCTCCCTAGGGAGGCGTCCGGGAGACATCCTTACCAGATGCCCAAACCACCTCAACTGGCTCCTTTCAACGCGAAGGAGCAGCGGCTCTACTCTGAGCACCTCGCGGATGGCCAAGCTTCTCACCCTATCTCTAAGGGTGACACCAGCCACCCGCCTGAGGAAACCCATTTCGGCCGCTTGTACCCGCAATCTCGTTCTTTCGGTCATGACCCAGCCTTCATGGCCATAGGTGAGCGTAAGAAGGAAAATCGACCGGTAGATCGAGAGCTTTGCCTTACAGCTCAGCTCTCTTTTCACATCAATCTTGTCACATCGGCGCGGTAAAGCAAGTGCTTTACCCCCCCGCTCCGATTGTCTGGCCAATCTCCTCTTCCAATCTCCCCTCACTCGTCAATAAGACTCCAAGGTACTTGAACTCCTTCACGTGAGGTAAGGACTCATTCCCTACCTGGAGTTGGCACTACCTGCTGAGAACCATGGCCACAGATTTAGAGGTGCTAATCCTCATCCCAACTTCTTCACACTCTGCTGCGAACCGATCCATTGAGAACTGAAGGTCACGGACCGATGAAGCCATCAGGACCACATCATCCACAAAAAGCAGTGACGAGAACCCTCCGTTCCAGCACCTTGGAGTAGACTTTACCGGGGAGGCTGAGTAGTGTGATACCCCTCCAATTGGCACACACTCTCTGGTCCCCCTTTTTGAACAGGTGAACCACCACTGGGCTTACCCGGTCTGTCCAGAGTCTTCCCCCACCCCCTGACCCAACTGCTGACTGGTCCGGCCCTCTCTTCACCTGAGTGTCCGAAACATGCAGCCTCAAATCAGATGAAACGATTACAAAATCGATCATCGATCGTCGACCTAGGGTGCTCTGGTACCACGTACACTTATGAGCATCCTTATGTTCGAACCTGGCGTTCGTTATAGACAATCCATGACTAGCACAGAAAAATAAATGAAAATGTCCTATTTTTGTTAATGTAATCTACAACAGATTACATTTTTAAACAAATTCCCCCGACAGGACAACTCATAAGACTCTACTGTAGTGGTCCTGACTCTCTCTCTCTCTAAATTTAAATCAGACAACCCTCTCTGCATTCCACACGAGTAAATAATTCTTGGCGAAAAATTTTTTGGGTCTCATGAATTCTTGCTGCTTGATGTCTGCAGCCAAGAGCCTCCTCCAGCTGGGGATCTGCAGAGCAGAACTGGCAGCAACATTGACAGCTGCTGGGTGAGATAGTTGCCAGTCTGAGCATGTGTGTGTGTCTGTGTGTGTGTGTGTGTGTGTGTGTGTGTGTGTCTGTGTGTGTCTGTGTGTGTGTGTGTTTACTACAGAGAACCTGGAAAGCTTAGAGGTATGCAGCAAGGGAGAAAAAGATGCAGAGGAGGGAAACTCATCCAAGAGCTGATTGAAAGGAAACAAAAGCAGCTTCTTCCTCCTCTCTCTTCCCCCTTTTCTTTTTTCTTTCATCCTCTACTCATCTGCTCTTCTATTAGGTCTTCTCTCATTCTCCTCTTTTTTCGATCTTTTCATGTCTCCCTTTCTTGTCTGTCCTTGCCTTCAACCTCTCTTTTGTCACTTTACATTTGTTTCTTCCTTTCTCTTTTCATCCCTTTTTTCTTATTTTCCTCCTTTCTCCAGGCCTCATCTTATTCCTGATCGTTCCTGTTTTCTGTTTTCTTCTCATCTCCACCTCTCTATACTTCCTCCTCTCTTCCTCCTCATCTCTTTTTTAAATCTCTTCTTTCTCCCCTACTTTTCTTCTTTTCCCTTTCATGTCTCCTCTTCTTTTTACAGTCCTTCCTCTGTTGTCATCTTCCCTTTTCTCTTCTCCGCCTCACCTCTTATGTCCCCCCTTCTCCTTCTTAGATCA